TTTGGCTTAATGTACAGTCATATTTTCTTGAAGGGGGATGGCAAGGGAAGGATTTTGTTTTGGCACTGCTAGGCACACAGCACACCCCTCTCTCGGTGGGATGTGGGCAAGTGTCTGGCCCAGAGTCTCCTCCCCACACTGCACCCCTGTACTGCTCCTGTTTCTTGCATGAGCAGGAACTTGGATGGAACAGTGGGTGGAAAAGAGTGTGTGGGGCACACACAGCCTGATGGGGTATTTCCTTGGCAGTCAGTCATGGCAACACAAAGTGACAAGGACACCACCTGGGAAATTTCTCCGCTCTGCTGCTCGGACTGCTGGATGCTTTATGGCAGAAAGCAGCTGAAGGAAGGTGGTTTTATAAACTGATAGTGGGGAAACTACACCCAGAAGGCAGAGATGGGCTCTGACTATCCCAGCAAACCAGTTAAATATGAAAGGCTAAATGACAGGAGAGCGAGAAGCAATTTCTTTTCTAATCCAGCCATCCATAACCAGGTTTTGGAATAGCAAGAAGGGGAAGATAATTGTTTTCTTCACTCTGCTCAAACAAAAAAAACATAGAATCATCAGGGTTGGAGGAAACCTCTAAGATCATCGAGTCCAACCATTAACCTTTCACTGCTGGAACCCCTAAACCCTAAACCAGATCCTCCAGTGTCAGATCCAGATGCTTCTTCAACACTCCCAGGGATGGTGACTCCACCACCTCCTGAATGAGAGGAAGCCTTGAACAAATGAGAGCATAAAAATTAACAGCACCTCAAGCTCACTTCACCTTCATTTCTACCTGGCTGCAACTCCCAGGAAGGCTGTGCTGTCTGTCAGGCAGCAGAATAGGCAATTCTTCCCTTAACTTGTGTGTGTCGAGCTGTGAGCAACCAGAGCCTTTTAATCCCCATCTGATACAGCTACTGGCATGACCACTCGGGTTTGATCTCTAACCTGGATGTGGCAAGTGCTGGAGCTGCAAGCCAACCTCTAAAGGAGAAGTAGCAATGCTCTGCTGCCTGCATGAACCTCATTCTGAATGCTGTAAATATTAAGGAATGTGCTACTTCTTCCAACCTTTCAGTGCTCTGTCTCTGTGTGCACAGATGGGCGTTGGGAGACAGAAAGCCAAGTACAGCTAAGTGTACTGAAATGCTTTGCAGCTTTGTAAAATTTCATCCAGCATCTGAATCTGTTTATCTAACCTTTTTTTCCCCCCCTCTCCTCCCTTTTCTTTCTCAGAGAATTGCTCCTACTGTGTAGATGAAATGCACCAAAGTGCAAACAAGCAAAATGTTGGAGCTGAGTGACGTTGACGGCAAGTTGCTCCATTGCCAGATGTGAAAAGAACAAGTGGTTTCAAAACCCTAATTTGTTTTTAAAAAAAAGTATAATTTGGTACTTCTGCGAAATCTGATGATTTAATGAGCACAGATGGATGTGGGATGAATTTCTAGAGACAAGTGTTTAATGTATCTGCTCAGATTATTCCAGGACTGAGCATTATCCTTCCTAGTGCATGAAGGTAATTAATATTTCCCATTATGGGCATGAAAAAAACCCATATGATCAGTTAAGGAATGCAGATACACCGATGATATGGAAGTTAATTCATAAATCAATTAGAGAATCTTGCCTGCTGTGTATAATTAGGGCTACTTCAATTATAGCTTATTTTTGGATTTAAGACTTAGGAATTAAAATGCTTAAAATCAGAGTAAGTTCCTTACCATCCTATACTGCAACTGGAAGCATTTACTTGGTTTTAGCAGTCTAAATCTATTTACTCCTGATTCCACAGCTAAGAAAATGCAGCTAACCTATGTCTTTCTGATTCTGCAGCTAATCCATGTTTCTCTGGTCCTATTCTGCCACTTAAAATGGTCATCAGTTACATGTTTCCCTATCTGGATCACCCTGAGTTGGACTGAAGAGTTTGTAGGATATGGGACTGGCCCTGGTATATTAAATAATGTGTGTGGAGTTCTCTACAGTGAAGCTTTTAGAGAAGCACCTGAGCAGCAGCTCTGGAGACTTCAAGGGGCTGTTCTTCCTGGCTCTTTTCTTGGCTACATTTAACTAAAGGTGCAGCATTTCACTGATTTAGTTACACTGGTGCTAAATCTGGTTTATATTGATTTAGCTTTTCTTATAGCATTAATCTAAACTGATGTAGACCAAATTAAGTGTGCCTAAATAGGGATTGGTTTTTCACTCCTTTTGCTAAATTGCTTTTTCATGGATTTTAAGGACAAGAGACTACTGTGATAGTCTCCTCTCACTGCCTTCATTACAATGCTGGAGGACTTGCCTGTATTTATTTCTGCTTCAGCTCTAATACCTGCACTTGAACAACAGCATCTCTTTTAGACAAATGCCAAATCTAGAGTAAGAATATTCCTGTGTCTGTCCTGATTGCAGTCTCTTACAGACTGCTACCAAGCCATTCGTAACCCTGCTCTTTTCCAGGTCTACCAGAGCTCCCTGTACCTCTGACTGCAAGCATAGAGTTTTAAATCTTTAATTGTTCTTGTGATGTTATTTTGAGACAACTCCACTTTGCCTCAGATTTGTCTCTTCTGAAATATACTGTCACTCTGTGTTGTCCTTACCAATAAGTTAAGTCTGCCCTCTTCATCACCTACCTCCCACTTCAGTCCTCCCTTCTGCAGCAGCCAAGACTTTATGTTGGACAGTACAGGTCCAAGACCCAACTCTCATTGGGCTAAACTCCTTACAGAAACAATCGTTTTCTAGAGATTTCTGATCTAGGTTTAGATTTGATGTCAGTGAATCAGTTTTCAATCCACTTAGTATCTGTTGGGTCAATTGTGTAAGGTTTACTCAGCAAGAGGTTTTAGGGTGACACACCAGATGGCTTGGAAAAGTTTAAATATGCTATGGTGTCATTGTCACCTCCCCAAACAAATTCCAACCTGCACTCAGTAAACACTGTGTAAGGTATGAGCTGCCCTGTAGTATCCCATATTATGACCTGCATCACCTGGTCTATGACCCCAACTGGATTCAGGCTTGCCCAGTCCATTCTCTTCAGCTTCTTTCATATATTCAGACAAGAATTCTTTCCTTCAAACTTCTGCAACTTCAGTGTTGTCTCAAAACTGGTTTAAATACCAACTCAAAGGAGTTCCTTAAACTGCTTTTTTGAAAAGTCTTTGATGTTTTGTAAAAAACATTTTCTCCTCAATCGCATTCTGAGTAGAAAGCAGTTCAATAGCATTGTAGCTGTACATTACCAATTCCCTTCCCAGTCCTCAAACTGCAGCCTTGTGGAAAAAATTGACTTGAAACCAACATGAGTGTGCACATGGAGACCTAGCTCTTTTCTATGCCCCTGTTCCCAGTCAGTTACCTCTCTCTCCACCTGCTTCGGTATTTTGATGTTCCTACTCCACTCAGCACTCGTGAGACCCACCTGGAATACTGCACACAGTTCTGGTGCCCTCAACATAAGAAGGACATGGAACTGTTAGAGCAAGTCCAGAGGAGGCCACCAAGTCGCTAAGAGCACTGGAGCATCTCCCCTGTGAGGACAGGCTGAGGGAGTTGGGGCTGTTGAGCCTGGAGAAGAGAAGGTTGTGTGGAGACCTCAGAGCACCTTCCAGGAGCTGAAGGGGCTCCAGGGAAGCTGCAGAGGGACTCTGTGTTAGGAGCTGCAGTGATAGGACAAGGGGCAATGGGCACAAATTGAAGGAAGGGAAATTTAGGCCAGATATTAGGAAGAAGTCTTCCCTGCGAGGGTGGTGAGACACTGGCCCAGGTTGCCCAGGGAGGCTGTGGCTGCCCCAACCCTGGCAGTGTTCACAGCCAGGCTGGAAAAAAAAATCTGGTGGGAGGTGTCCCTGCCTAGGGCAGGGGGTTGGGACTGGATGATCTCTCAGGTCCATTCCAACCCATAAAATTCTTTGATTCTATGATTCTTTTGGGGTTTGAAAAGTCAGTTACTCTACCAAAGTGCAGAACAGGCTGCTGAAGTGAACTCACTGGTACATCCCCTTCTAGAAATGAGCTACATTTTTGGCAACAGGTCACTGAAGATGGCCATACCTGTAAGCATCCTAAACAAGAAGAATTTGAAACAGCCTTTTGTTATTGCAGAACAGGACAGAAAGGGCTTTGATGAGCACACTTGTAACCCCCAGGTGGGACATAACATGTCAACTCCAAAAGTGTATTAAAACATAGGGACCCCACTTAAAAAGATTTGCCAACAGCATTTACACCATTTGGGCTGAGAAAGCACTGATGTCCTCTAGAGTTAGACGGAGCTTGCATGGGGTCATGGACAGGTGCTGCTCACCAGTTTTTTAAACCTGCACTGTGTGCTGCTCTTGGGAAACAACAAGCCCAAGGCTGGGGGAGGAGTGGGGACAGAGGTGTTGTCACAAAGGGACTTGACAGTGCTGGTAGCACAGCTTAGTGGGATGAGGAAGGGCTGAGGGAGTTGGGTTTGTTTAGCCTGGAGAAGAGGCTCAGGGGTGACCTCCTGGCTCTCTGCAACTCCCTGCCAGGGTTGGAGAGGGGTAGGGGATGTGTGGCCTGCCATGGCTGCAGGGAGAGGACTAGAGGGAATGGCCTTGAGCTGAGCCAGGGCAGAGTCAGATTGGATGTGAGGAGAAATGTTTTCCCTGTGAGGGTGTTGAGGCACTGGGATATTGCCCAGGGAGGTGATGGAGTCACCATCCCTGGAGTGTTGAAGAGGCATCTGGATGTGGCACTGGAGGATCTGGTTTAGGGTTTAGGGTTTCCAGCAGTGACAGGTTAATGGTTGGACACAATGATCTGAGAGGTCTCCTCCAGCCTTGATGGTTCTATGATTCTAAATGATTATTAATGGGCAGGTGCATGTAATCCCTGTTTTCCTAAAAGACAGCTGAGCCACCTACAGTCAATCCACAGAGCAGCAAAACTGCAACAACCCTTGACCTAGTTAAACTTGCAGCCCTCCCCCAAACACTCCCTGAGGATGCAGGAGATACACAGCTTACCTTTCCCGGGGCAAAGGCTTGGGCTCTGGCCGAATAGCTGCCATGGAAGAGAGGGGTGGTCTGGCAGGAGAAGGGATAGAAAAATTCAAATCCAAGGAGCCTGTTTTCCTGTGCAGAGGCTCCAGCCCCATGGCTCCTTGCATTTCACTCTCGATAGGGCATGAGCCAGCTCTGCCGTGGCTGGAGAGGGAGGAGAGCTCAGGTCCCACTGCCCCTTGCAGAACTCCTTCGATGGCTGTCTGGGCATCATGAGTGGGAGACACAGACGGTGGGGAACGTGACTTCTTTTTTGTTGATGCTCCTGCTAGAAGTTTCAATAGCCCACTCTTCTTCTCCTTCTGCAAAGGAACCAAACAAAATATGGGCAGTGAGCAGACACACCAATTTCCATTGCTTTTCTTTTGGTAAATCTTAATGTGTGTGGCAGGAACCTCTCAAAACTGCCATAACTAGAGGTAGATCCAGGTAGAACTTGAGCTTTCTGTAAGAAAGATCCTGTGAAAATCCCTCCCCATTCAACCCCATGGTTTCAACTCATTCAGCAGAGTATGGACCAAACATACTGCAAAGATTATCTCCATCTCTAAATCTATCCAAGCAGTGATTATGTGCCTTTTGAAATAGTGCAGCTGCAGTGGGACAGGCAAGGTACAAACTCCCCATACAGAGAAGACAGCAATAGGAGTGCTGCCCTCTCTCTTCCAGGAGATTTCTGTCCCTCAATAGAGAAACACCTCACAAGGAAGAAATCAGGACCTATGGCTAAAAACCTCCATGGGGAAGCACAAGGGGCTGAAGAGAGATTTCAGGTCCCAGCCCATTGCAAGAGAAGCATTCATCACTACTGTCTCATTTATTACCTGATGGAGATTTACTGTAGGGAGAATGGAAGCACAAGACAGTGGTGTTATAACTCTTTCCAGCCCATGCTTCCCTTCATGTCCTGCATCAGCACAGCAGTGATGTGTCTCCCTCCAGAAGTGGGTCACTTCTCCTCATGTGCTGAGGTAAAACTTGATGTTTGAAGATAGACCACAAAACTGACAACTGGCAATGGTAATGGCAGTGCATGGGAGGTTTCAAAGTTCTACAAGGGTTTCTGATCCAGAAGAAAGAAGATAACTGCACCCTTTCAATTAATGTGAGAAAGAAAACGTTCAGCCTACATCTGACCTTGTGGGCTTTGTATCAGTGAGAAATCCTGCTGCACATTTGCCTCAAGCACACCCAAATACCGAATCTTATGGCCTTCATCTTGAGAGATTTTTGAGTTGAGGGTTTGTGTGCAGAAGCTGTCCATGCTCTGGTACATGCTGCACAGAGCTAGGCTAGAGTTGCAGCTAGAAATGCTGTGCAATAAATTTTCCATTAAGAAAAAATGATACAGGGAGTTTTGCAAAAGGTCTATTAGATTTCTTCCTCTTTTGTCAGAACTGCGAGCCATTACCAAAGACTATTTTCAGAGACTCAGGGCTGTGAAGTTTAGCTGTATTTGATAATTTGTTCAATAATAGGATCCCAGGGGATAAAATCAAACCCAGCAACTGCAAGACTTATGGAACAGAAGCTATGCCTCTGTCTTCAAGCAGGAACAGTCTTTGCAAATACAAACCAGTAATTTATTTATTCTCAGTAGACAAAATGTCCCATGCAAGGTTTAAAGTTATGCTCTTTTATGTTCTGACTGCTGGAGTGAGTTCTCAAAGCAGCTTTAAAGAATAGGAGGGCTACATTAAAATAAACATAAACTGTTAGAAGATGCCTGGATTCACTATAGTAAATGTACTTGGAATATCTGCTATCCCCGTTTCCAAAGTTCTTGTTTGCTTTCTTTAACTGTCACAGGCTGGTAAGAAAACAGAAATACCTTAGATGTTAAGACACAGAAGAGCTAAAAGGAAGCACAGTTGTCACAGAGCCAACATCCACTGGTTTTTGAAGAATAGAATCCTAACTGTGCATCCAGATCGTGTCTCCTGCACACCACTGGTTCTGTTTAAAAGGACACTTATCACTTATAGGCTGAAAGGATCCATCCTACCAAGATTTTCACACAGGCAGAATCATAGAATCATAGAATTTTAGGGGTTGGAATGGACCTAAGAACAACTAGCCCCAACCCCCTGCCCTGGGCAGGGACACCTCCCACCACACCAGGTTGCTCAAGGCTCATCCAACCTGGCTGTGAACACTGCCAGGGTTGGGGCAGCCACAGCCTCCCTGGGCAACCTGGGCCAGTGTCTCACCACCCTCACAGGGAAAACTTCTGCCTGAGATCTAACCTAAATTTCCCCTCCTTCATTTTATCCCCATTATCCCTTGTCCTGTCCCTGCAGCTGCTAATACAGAGTCCCTCTGCAGCTTCTCTGGAGCCCCTTCAGCTCCTGGAAGGTGAGGTGCTCTGTCCACACAACCTTCTCTTCTCCAGGCTGAAAGCTAAGGGAGTCTGGCCATACGGTACCATCAGGCCAAAAATAGTAACTAAACTCCCCTGGAAACAATAGAAAGCTAGACCAAAAATGGGTTCAAATTGAAGGAGGGGAAATTTAGGGTAGATATTAGGAAAACATTTTTTCCTGTGAGAGTGGTGAGACACTGGCCCAGGTTGCCCAGGGAGGCTGTGGCTGCCCCAACCCTGGCAGTGTTCACAGCCAGGTTGGATGAAGCCTTGAGCAACCTGGTGTGGTGGGAGGTGTCCCTGCCCAGGGCAGGGGGTTGGGACTGGATGATCTCTAGGGTCCATTCCAACCCCTAAAATTATTCTATGATTCTGTGAAATGTCCTGGCTAAACATCTTTCCCCGATAGGAATGAACCATTGTGGAGTCTATGTCATGTATGCAGCATGGCATTTACCTGAAACCCCAGACAAAAATACTTCAGTGTTTCTCCCACTCTAATGAAGATATACAGTTGCTGTCATCATTATATGAAATTTTAAAGCTCTTCATGAAACGGCAAAACTCTCCTTTCCCCGTGGCACACTGAGACAATAACTCTAATGATCTCAGCATCCTGTGTCAATATGCATTTGCAGGTGTCCAAAGGTCAGTGACAGAATACAATGGCCATTGTGGGGCTCTGGAGAAACAGCTATTGTGCAGCAGTGAGCACTTTGAGCCCCTGTAATTGGCAGCTTTGCACATGCAAAATAACGATGTGAACTAAAGCCCTGTATAACCAACCATTAATATTCCTATGTGGTAGCAGCTTTGCTAATTTTTGCTTCTGATTAAAACATCCTGGCAAAATTTCCCTAGAAAAACCTTGTGTAACTTAGAGCATTCAAGGCACAAATGCAAAAATATTTGGGAGGAAGGAGGTGCCTATACTCACACCCATCTGCACATTAGAAGGCAGATGAGTCTGGCAGACATTCAATTTGGTTTACAAGAATGGATTCCACTCTACAGGGTTAGCCCTGGCATAATTTCTACACTTAAGCTACCACCCCTCTGATAAGAAAAAGCTATAATGAACTTGCTGATGTAGCTTTTGTTCTGCTTTAACAAAAGGAAAAATAACAAATTGATTTTTGTAGCTCCCACTGAGCATTTTACTCAACTTTGGAAACTAAGGTGTGTGGTCTCTGAAGAGAGAAGATGACTTAATTCAATTGCTAAGCCTAGTCTAAACCTAAGCAGTTCCATCCTTCCAGCCATGGCCTTGGGCAAGGTATTTAGACGTGAACCAATACCAACCACATGGAGATTAGACAGCACATCCAGCTCCTTCTCCCTTTGAGTCTGGCTCTCAGCCTGCTGGTGTCACATGGCCAGATCCTCCGCTGATGCTGCTGAGAGCATCGCAAGCAAAACAAGAACTGGCATGAGCTGATAATTTACTGTGATGTCTTTCATGAGAAACATTGGATTTAAACTTCTTGTGATCAGCAATGCAACCTAACCCACTCCATACCTCCTCCCCCTAGCTGTAAAATGGGACTAAGTTAAAACTCCTCTTTGTGCTGTGGGAATCACTTAATGATTCCAGTGTTTTAAAAGCTGTACATTTCTTTGGGAGCAACTGATCCTTTTCCATGGCTTTTTTTTCCATTAAAAAGAATGTTTGGAACGGGATGTTAGTATTCAGCCTCGGTAGTGATTTATTGCGAGTGTCCAAGTATTATGAATTCATTTAATATTTAGTGTAATAGCAGCCATCCTTCAGGAGAAATGAACATTTATCTGTCTGTCCAAGACAGACCTTCAGCAGGTTCACTGTAAATCAATGCAGCATTAATGGGCATAAATGCTGCAGAGAAATCCACACCCACTGGTTACAGACTCTGTCACTTTTGGAACGAGATAAGAAGTTTATAGAGGACATATCTGATGACTTTGAGGATTTAAGTTTTTGACTGAAAAGAAAAAAAAGCTGATTTACTTTGTTTTTCATTCCAGCCAATGGAATCCTGGGCTGCATCCACAGGAGTGTGGGCAGCAGGTCAAGGGAGGTGATTCTCCTCCTCTGCTCTCCTGGGACCCACCTGGAATACTGCACACAGTTCTGGTGTCCTCAGTGTAAGAAGGACATGGAATTGTTGGAGCAAGTCCAGAGGAGGCCACGAAGTTGCTCAGAGCACTGGAGCATCTGCCCTGTGAGGACAGGCTGAGGGAGTTGGGGCTGTTGAGCCTGGAGAAGAGAAGGTTGTGTGGAGACCTCAGAGCACCTTCCAGGAGCTGAAGGGGCTCCAGGGAAGCTGCAGAGGGACTCTGTGTTAGGAGCTGCAGGGACAGGACAAGGGGCAATGGGGACAAATTGAAGGAGGGGAAATTTAGGCTAGATATTAGGAAGATGTTTTCCCTGTGAGGGTGGTGAGACACTGGCCCAGGTTGCCCAGGGAGGCTGTGGCTGCCCCAACCCTGGCAGTGTTCACAGCCAGGTTGGATGAAGCCTTGAGCAACCTGTACTGGTGGGAGGTGTCCCTGCCCAGGGCAGGGGGTTGGGACTGGGTGATGTCTAAGGTCCATTCCAACCCCTAAATTCTATGATTCTATGATGATTCACATTATTGTTTTCTAGGAAATCTACTCAAACAGCTGTGTAATAATTGAGCTTTCTTTGTCTAGTAGCTACATTTCCAACTGACTGCAAACTGTGTTTGACATCCCAACCTGCTGAATCTGCCAAGGTCAGACCTTCACATCTGTGTTGATGGATGGATTTGCAGTATGGACAGCACTTCTCCCTTCTCCTGGTTCCTGCCCACATGTTTGACTGAATTTAAATCATCATCTTTTTGTTGCTCAGGTTTTACTCCAGGAGGTTCAGAGTCAAAACGTCCAGACCATTAATTTCAGAAGGATTCAAAGGAAAGGAAGAGAACAAAA